GGATGGGTGGGTGGTTGTGTTGGGTTGTGTTGTGTGGGGATGGATGGATGGTTGGGTTGTGTGGGAATGGATGGATGGTTGGGCCGTGTCAGGTGGGGATGGATGGTTGGGTTGGGTTTGGTGGAGATGGAGGGTTGGGTCAGGTCATGTGGGGATGGATGGTTGGGTTGGGTTGGGGATGGATGGTTGGGTTGGGTGGGGATGGATGGGTCATGTCAGGTGGGGATGGATGGATGCTTGGGTCGGGCAGGTGGGGATGGATGGATGCTTGGGTCGCGTCGGGTGGGGATGGATGGATGCTTGGGTCGCGTCGGGTGGGGATGGATGGATGGTTGGTTTGTGTGGGGATGGATGGATGGTTGGGTCGGGTCGGGTGGGGGTGGATGGATGGTTGGTTGTGTTGTGTTGTGTTGTGTGGGGATGGATGGATGGTTGGGTTGTGTGAGGATGGATGGTTGGGTCGGGTGAGTATGGATGGATGGTTCGGTCAGGCGGGTGGGGATGGATGGATGGTTGGATTGCGTCCAATGGGAATGGATGGTTGGGTCGCGTTGGGTGCGGATGGATGGTTGGGTCGGGCAGGTGGGGATGGATGGTCACGTTGGGTTGTGATGGATGGTTGGGTCGTGTCGTGTGGGAATAGATGGTGGGATTGTATGGGGATGGATGGATGGGTCACGTCGGGTGGGGAGGAATGGTTCGGTCGGGCGGGTGGGGATGGATGGATGGTTGGGTTGGTTGTGTGGGGATGGATGGATGGATGGATGGTTGGGTTGCGTCGGGTGGGATGGATGGATGGTTGGGTTGTGTTGTGTGGGGATGGATGGTTGGGTTGGGTTGGGTGGAGATGGAGGGCTGGGTCAGGTCGTGTGGGAATGGATGGATGGTTGGGTTGGGTGAGGATGTATGGTTGGGTCAGATTGTGTGGGGATGGATGGATGGTTGGGTCACGTGGGTGGGGATGGATGGATGGTTGGGTCACGTCGGGTGGGGATGGATGGATGGTTGGGTCGGGTTGTGTGGGAATGGATGGATGGTTGAGTCATATGGGGATGGATGGATGGTTGGGTCACGTCGGGTGGGGATGGATGGATGGTTGGGTTGGGTCGCATATGGATGACTGGAAGGGGCACATTAGGGTGGAGAGACAGACTGATCAGTTATCCACCCCCTCTCAGGTGCAACCCCCACCCTGTTTTCCAGCCAGGCCCCCACCTCTCTCGTAGCGGAGCTGGAATCCTTCTGCCACCGTCCAGGTGCGCCCGTAGCTCAGGGTGACATTGGTGCCCCTGTACTCCAGGGGGGCGGGGAGCCGGGAGCCGCAGAGGGCCTGGTGGGGGTAGGAGTGAGCCCAAATGTAGAGTTTCGCCTCCCCACACGCCAACTGGAACCGCTCGAACCTGCAGAGAGGAGACGGGGGATGGGCATGGGGCCTCTCCCCTCTAGGGTTTGGCTCCCATCCGGCCCCACGGCGGGGACTGGCTGGCTCAGGGGGGTGGGGACTGGGGCCTTTCCCTCCAGGGGCCACCAGCTCCCTTCCAGACCCAAGGCCGGGGAGGGGAGGGAGGTTAATTGGGGTAATTACTGTTTTTGCTCTTCTCTGGGGCGGGGCAGGATGTGGACAGGATGGGGCAGAATGCAGTGGCTGGGCGAGTGAGGAGAGCACTGAGGGAATGGGGGAGGAGGCAGGAGACGGGGGAAGAGGGGGGTGGTCAGGGGAGGACTGAAGGAGTGGGGGTGGGGGCAGGAGGCGGGGGGCAGAGGGACTGGGGGAGGGGGCAGTAGGCGTTGGCAGAGGGGGGTGGTCTGGGGAGGGCTGAGGTGAGGACTGAGGGAGGGAGCGAGGGGGCAGGAGGTGGGGGGCAGAGGGCTACATGGGGTCTCTCACCTGATGGTCACCACATCCTCTGGGCCCCCCAGGATGACCCAGGTGCACTTGCCAGGCAGGATGCGGCCATGCCGGGGGGGGAAGCTGCGGATCACCCCCTGGCTCTCCCCCCGCACCTCCAGGGGTGCACGGCAGGTGGCTGGCGAGGAGCGGGGGGGATGCAGAGGTCAGCGATGGACCCCGTCCATGTCCCCCTCCCCTACATCCAGCCCCCCAATCACAGTGCTACCCCACCCAGCGAGCCCAAATCCCCACCCTTCCCCCTCCCCTTCTCCCACCAGCCCCCCTGCACCCCAATCCGTGCCCTTCCCCCTCTCCCACCAGCCCCC